AGGAATATTACCTAAGCAACATTTCATTTTATGGATGGCAATACAAAGAAGGTTAGCTACAGTTGACAGACTAGCAAAATGGGGAATTCAGGTGAACCATTCTTGTGTACTGTGTGGAGGTGACATAGAAGAGACACATGATCACTTGTATTTCGAGTGTCCATATTCACAGAGCTTATGGAAGGGGTTGCTTGAACGGTTAAGTTACAAGAGAAGGGTTGAAATCTGGGAAGCTGAGGTACAATGGTTAACTGCCAATGTAAATAACAGAAATCCAAGGAAAAATGTGCTACGAGTGGTGTTTGCAGCAGTAGTATATCATATCTGGATGGAGAGAAATGCAAGACGATTCCATAACCAGAGCAAAGAGATTCAGGATAGAGCAAAAGAAATTGTTTTGCAGGTGCACATAACAGGACAGAAGAAATGTAAATGGACACCTATATTGAATACACTAAATAGATATCCTAATTGTAATTCATAGCAAATAGGATAGGAAAAAGACCCATGATGATATTGGGTCTTAGTTAGCAGCCCTGGTTGTGTAGGTATTTTGTTTATTGGTTCCGGTTATGAGACCTGATACTAGAGTCCAAAGTACAGGTGATGTAAATTGAAAAACTGGTTGAAATAAAATTTTTCTTTCGACCAAAAAATAAAGATGATGTTAGACGCCATCACGACCTCTAGTGGATTTTGGGTCGTGACGCACTAGGTAACAACCATCCAAACAAGCTGTTAATTTAAACCGGTCACAAAATTGAAATAGAAGTTTACGTTTTATCAGTTTGTTCATACTACATAAAGCTAATTCTAATTTTACAATATTTCATATATGGTTTAATATATTTAATTTATATATTTAAGTGTCAAACTAAAGAAATTAATGGAAAATACCCAAGGTAATTAACAGAGCCATCACAACTTTGGAGAATTGTAGTAATAAAACAAAAGCAAATAAAGATAGCACATCAACTTTTATATATCCCAGAAGTAAGAAAGACAACCCAAAGAAGGAAAAAGAAAAACAAAAGCTAAAGGGAAAAAAGGAAAAAAAAAAAAAACAGAGGAAAAAGGAGTGTGGTAGACTGGTAGCGTAAAGAAATATACGAGAAAATGAAAGCACAAAGCTACAAGGTTGCTTTTATGCGTTCGAGTGCTTGCTCCATCAAATAAAAGTCTTCTCCAAATCAGTGCACCCACGGTATAAGGGTCGTTTGGTAGAATGTATTAGGAAAACGTAATATATGTATTAAATTTAGTTTTATTAATTTCATATTTGGTAGTGTTTATATGTAACTAATACATATATTAGTAATACATATTATTTGGTATTATCCTATGAATAATTAGTACTGTGTAGCAAATCATGACATTAATAATAATATGATTTTTACTCTATCTATCTATATCTATATCTATACTATATTAAAAGTGTGAAGGCACTTAGCAAAATATCATTCGCCTTTTTTACCCTTTAAAAATAAAATTTATATTGAGTGAAATTGTCATTTCACTTATCTTCCTAATAGTTAGGACTTCAACGTAAATTAAAATTTTATTTATTATATCTTTCCTTGTTTAAACTCTTAAAAGCTAAATTTAAAAATGGATTATAACCATACTTTTTCAAATATTTAGGGGAAAAGGCAATAGAAGGCCGAAAATTACCGTAAATTAACAGGGGGATTTGCATCTATACCCGTTTTTTTTGTCACGTTTTAACTTGTGCCCGTTTTGCAAAAAAAATTGCAAGCGTACCCGCTTTTTCGCATAACTTCAGCATACCAGGCTGAAGTAGCAAAGGCAATCACGCAAAACTTCAGCATTCTAGTAGCCGGGCCTGAAGTTCAGCTCTAGAGCTGAAGTTTTTGTTTTGTAATTGGCGAAGTTTTTGTTTGTAACTGGCAAACTTCAGCTCTAGAGCTGAAGTTTTTGTTTTATAACTGGCGAACTTCAGCTCTAGAGCTGAAGTTATTTAGTTCATCACTAGTCTACATTTACTTACAGAAACACGACATTGGATACAATACACGCAACAAGGATAGTTAGACTAGACTCTAGAGCTCAATTTTAGAACCAAAACTGTTCATTGGCTTTCCGAAACAAAGTAAAAATTTCTGCACAGCGACAGATGCAAAATTAATCCAACGACGGCGAAAACCTTTGATCCTGTCTATGCCTGGAGCATCAAACCTTTTACAATTTTTCTTCTAAATTTTAATCTTT